TTTTGCTCTTATTTTATATTCCACAAAATGGAACGAAGTATTGATCCATGCTCCAACATGAATGACCCTTGAAAATAATGTGCTAAGAAGCCAGTCGCAAAAGGTCACATATTATATGACTCCATTTCTATGAAATAGAGACAGCAGAGTAGTGGGTCCCGGGGTAATGGAAAGAAGCTGCTTAATGAGCCCGGATCTCCTCTTAGGATGGTAAAAATGTTCTAGAACTAGATAAAGGTGATGGTTTCACAACATTAGGAATGTACTAAATGTTACTGAATTGTCTGTTTTAAAATGGCTTAAAAGTTAGCTACAATTTCAGCTTGAGAAGGTGAAAAAAGTTCTAGAGATAGAAGGTGGTGACGGTTACACAACATTGTGAGTTTATTTAACATCACCAACTACACTGAAAATGGTTCAGATGGTAAAGTTTATGTTATTTGTATTTTACCACAATAAAAATATTTTTAAGAAAGAGAAGAACCCCTTCAGGGACTGCTGGGAAATATATTTTAAATGGTTAAAATCATAAACTTTATACTATGTGCACTTTACCACAATAAAAATAATTTAAAAAATAAAAACAAAGGGAAGGATTACAGTTCTGGGGAAGATGGGGGGAACACCTGCCACCTTCCTCTCCCAAGAAATGCCCATGTCTCAGAGTGGGACAGAATGCATGTGGCAGTCTCAGAAAAGTAAACGCCAACAGGATTGTTGGGGAGGCACAGAAACCAAGGTGACCATTCAGACTGGTGACGATTTACTGTGTTCTCTCCTCTCCTCCCTCCAGACCTGCACTTAGTCCAGCCCAAACCCAAAAGAGAGCATGGTGGTACAGACAGAGAACTCCAGAAAAGAGAACCCCTAAGGCTCAGAGAGAGTGGGAGAAATCTCTGGCCTTTTTCTCTCCCTCTTCTTTGTTCTCTCAGATGTCAGACCCCGGGCAATATCATGGAGGGGGTGGCAGCAGCAACAAAAGTGGCTGACAGCAGAAAAAGCAGGAGCAACACTCTGAGGACAGGGAACTTCCTCTCCATTCAGTGGGTCTATGGGGCCAAATCCTGTTACTCCTTTCTTCCTCTTTGTCCCCCTGCTGCTGTGGTACAGTCACGAAGTGAGTGATTTATGGCCAGAGGATGCAAAAGGAGAGCCCCCTCCCCAAGGAACCAGATAGTATTAATGAAATGACAGGGAGGAAAGAGCTTAGGAAAGTGACCCCATCAATCTGTTTATGAACACCTGGGCTCACCCCATCACCCCACCCAACGTAAGGGTAGATCTGATCGTGGTGAACATACTGAAGACTCTGATTACTAAGCCAGTGGAGAAACCAACGCCCAGGTCCCAGGCCAACCACCAGGTGGTGCACATGCAGGACAAATCCAAATGGCACAAAGGCTGTGGAAACTAAGCTGACACTGGTACAACAGGCCAGAGAAGTAGGCAGACTATGCAGCTTAAAACTAACCAGTTTAAGTACCTTCTAAAACACAAACCTCCTCCATAAAATTTAAAAAGACCCAGAGTCAAAGTAATAGTCAAAATGTCCAGAACACAATCTAAAATTAGTTGGCGCATGAAGAAAGCCACAAAAATCTCAACTTGAATGAGAAGAGACAATCAATAGACATCAATGACAAGATGGGACAGATGCTGGAATAACCTGACCAATTTAAAGCAGTCATCAGAAAAATGCTGAATAGGTCATCATGAACACTCTTGAAACAAGTTAAAATAGAAAGCATCATTAAGAAAACAGAAAATATCCCTGGCCAGTTTGGCTTAGCGGTTGGAGCATCGGCCTGCAGACCAGAGAGTCCTGGGTTCGGTTCTCGCTAGGGGCACATACCAAAAAAAAAAGGAAAAGAAAACAGAAAATATCTTTTTTTAAACACATGGAAACGTAAAAAAAATAAAAATAAAAAACTCACTAATGGACTCAACAGCAAAATGGAGGGGACAGAGGAAAGAATCAGTGAACTTGAAAACAACAGAAACTATCCAATATGAGCAACAAAGAAGAAACAGATAAAACTTCCCATATTTGGCAAAAGACACAAATTTACAGACTTGTAAAGCTGAGCAAATCCAAACAGGACAAACCCAAAAAAATACTCCTACAAACACATAATCAAATTGATAAAAACTAATGACAAAGAAAAAAATGTTAAGGTGGTAGGAGAAAAACAATGCATGACCCACAAGGGGAAAATGATTCAAATGACTGCAGATTTCTCATCAGATCCTGTGGAGAAAGAACTGTCAACCCAAAATTCTATATCCAGTGAAAATATCTATCAAGAATGAAAGGGAACTAGACATGCTCAAATAAATAAAATCTAAGAGAATATGGACCCAGCAGAACACTTCTAAAAGAATTGCTAAAGGCAGTTCTTCAGACAGAAGTAAAATGATACCAGGAGGAAACTTGGAACATCACAAACAAAGGAAGAATAAAATAAAGGACGAAACCCCACAATCACCTCAGTAGATGCAGAGAACGCATTTACAAAGTTCAACACCCTTTCATGATAAAAACTTAACAATGTAGGAATAGAAGGGAACATCCTCAACCTGATAAAGGGCATCAATAAAAAAAACCCACAGTTCGTATCACACTCAATGGTGAAGATCAGATGCTTCCCCCTAAAATCAGGAACAAGACAAAGATATCCACTCTTGCCACTTTTATTCAACATTGTACTGAAGGTCCTAGCCAGAGCAATTAGGCAAGAAAAAGAAATAAAAAGCATCCAAATTGGAAAGGCATATATAAAACTAGCTCTATCTACAAATGACATGATCTTGTATACAAAAAAATCCTAAGTGGCCCACTAAAAAATTATTAGAATTAATAAGCAAGTTTAGCAAGGTGGCAGGATACAAGAGCAATATGCAAAAATGAATCGTATTTCCACACTTTAGCAATAAACAATACAAAAATAAAATTAGAAAACAATTTTATCTACAATAGCATTATAAAGAATAAAATACTTGGGAATAGATTTGGCAAAAGAAGTATAAGACTTGTACACTGAAAACTATAAAACACCTTTGAAAGAAATTAAAGAAAATCTAAATAAATGGAAAGACAGTTCATGGATAGGAAGACAATATAGTTAATGGCAATATTCCCTAAAGTGACCTACAGATTCAACACAATCTCCATCAAAATCCCAGCTGGCTTTTTTACAGAAACCGACAAGCTGATTCTAAAATTTATATGGAAATTCAAGGGACCCCTAATAACCAAAACAATCTTTAAAAAAACAAAGTTGGAGGATTCTACATTATAACTTACTACAAAGCTACAGTAATCAAGACAGTGTAGTACTGGCATAAAAATAGACAAAGTATCAGTGGATTAAAATGGAGAATCCAGAAATAAATGCTCACATTTACAGTTAAATTGATTTTCAAGCAATGATACCAAGACAATTCAATGAGGAAAAAAAATGGTCTTTTCAATAAATAGTACTGGAACAACTGAACATCCACACGCAAAAGAATGAAGTTGGATGCATACTTTTCACCAGACATAAAACTAACTCAAGACCTAAATCTAAAAGCTGAAAACTATAAAACTCTTTGAAGAAAACATATGTGTCAAACTTCATGACTTTGGATTTGGTGATGGATTCTTAAATATAACACCTAAAGCACAAGCAACAAAAGAAAAAGTAAATAAACTGGACTTCATCAAAACTAAAAACTTTTGTGTTCCAATGACACATCAAGAAAGTGAAAAGACAATCCACAGAATGGGAGAAAATATTTGTAATTCAAATATATGATGTGACTTGTATCTAATACATACAAAGAATCCTTATAACTCAACAATTAAAAGACACATAACCCAATTAAAAAGTGGGTAAAGAATTGAATAAAGCCCGGCCAGTGTGGCTCAGTGGTTGAGCATCAACCCATGCACCAAGAGGTCACCAGTTCGTTTCCCAGTCAGGGCACATGCCCAGGCTGTGGGCCAAATTCCCAGTGGGGGGCATGCAGGAGGTACAGCCAATCGATGTTCTCTCTCATCAATGCTTCTGTCTCTCTCTCTCTCCCTTCCTCTCTCTCTAAAATCAATAAAGGAAAACAAATTAAAAAAAAAAGAATTGAATAAAGACATTTCTCCAAAAAAGATCAATAAATAGCCAATAAGCACATAAAGATGCTCTAGTCATTAGGGAAATGCAAATTAAAAACACAATGAGATGGTTCTTCACACCCACCAGCCTAACCGGAACCAAAAAGATGGATAAGTGTTGGCGAGGATGTGGAGAAACTGGAAGCCTCAAAATTGCTGGCGGGAATGTAAAAATGGTACAGCCACTTTGGAAAATAGTTTGGCTGTTCCTCATAAAGTTAAATGTCAAGTTACTATATGACCCAGCAACTCCTAGACATATAACACTCCTAGCTATATAACCCAGAGAATTGAAAACATGTCTCCAGTCAAATCCTTATACAGAAATATTCATAGCAACATTACTTTTAATAGCCAAAATGTGGAAATAATTATTTCAATTTTTTTTAATATTAAGAGTAGAGGGCAGGGTTTCTTTGAATCAGGGGTGATTGATGGAGAGGGGTGTGGATTAGGGCCATCTTTGTAGAGAAGCCTGCAGTGGGCAGCACATGGGGAAAAATGTATGGGCTCGGGAGCCACGGGCCTGGGTTTGAGGCCAGGCTCTGTCACTGGGTGACCTCAAGTGAGTTGTCACCCCTCCTGTGATGGGGCTGAGACAAGTATTATTGCCAAGGGTGGGTGTGACAATTACAGACATGTAAAGTACTTACCACAGTACTAGTATGTATGAAGTCATCGACTGAGTACAAGATGCACTCTGTCTGTTTGGTTATCATATGCTCGAGATCTGCCTCAGCCTCCTCAGCAATGGCTAGGCTCTACTCAAGGGAATCCTATGGGTTCCTGCACTGGGGGGGCTAGAGAGCACAGGTGGGAATGAGTGGGGACAGAGAAGGCCCTCTCTTACCTGCAGGAGGTCCTCATCATCTGGCCCACACAGCATCAGCTCATGGCCTAGTTTCACCATCACTGTCAAAACACAAGGATTCTATTACTGCAGATACCCACCCAAATAGGAGAGGACGTCATGCACCCAGAGTGTGCACAAACACGCAGGGTTCACAGTAGTTCTCTGGTAAGGGTGTTCTCGCGCCAGTGTCGGCAGGTCCAGTTTCCACAAGGCTGAGCTAGGCCGGAAAGACCCAGGTGGATAAGGAAGCAAGTGGATCACACACCTAGGCGCCAGGACTGCCTCTTGCTGTGCAACCTGCATCCAGTCACTGCCCCTCTCTGGGTATCAGTGTCCTTGCCTGAAACTAAGGAGCACATCCAATGCTCTTCCATATAGGAACTTCTGGCTTACAGCAGACGCCAGACAGCTGCCTGAGGAACTGAGACAGGTTGGGGAACCATCCAAACACGCTGTGTGCTGCCTTTTCAGAGACCTCGCCAGGCCAAAGCAGAAGGAACCATCATTCACATTTGTCAATTTCCTACACACCTTTCATGTCATTGTCTCCCTTCCTCCTGCTACCAACCCTAAGAGGCAGGCCTTAGCCTTCATTCTACAAGTTGGGAAACTGAGTCCAGGGTGCCCTGCATATTTTCTGGGAACCATTTCGTATACAGAGAAAGGTCAAGACTTGGAGTCAGAAAGCCGGGGGCCACTGCCAGCTCCACACTCCCCACCTAGCTCTGTGGCAATGTCCTTATACTCACAGACTAAGCCCATCTCCTACCCCCACGTGCCTCAGTGGCAGAACAGGCAGAACTCTGGCATCTGCTCTGAAAAATTTGGTGCAAGAAGCAAGCAGCACATCTATGTAAAAGCATTAGTAATCCTGGACTACCATACAAATGCCAGTTATACCCCCAAGCACACCTACTTTGCCCACAGTCTTTAACCCCAAATCCTCGTGTCCTCCCTGGCCCCTCTTAGGCCATATCCGAGCCCCAGGGAGTCTGGTTGACCTTCCTTTCGCTATAAATCCAGGATCTGGGCGGCGCCCCCTTTAACTCTGCCCCGCCATTTCTAGCCTGGTTCACTGCGAGACCCTCCCAATGGTTTCCTTGCCTCTGCCTGGGCCTCTTATTCTCAGCCCAGTGGCCCAAGGGACCCTGTGAAACCCGAAGTCAGGCTACAGCCTTCCTCGAAGTAAATGCCACAAGGCCTGGCCCAATCTGGCCCCACCCCCCTCTAACCTCACCCCACCACTCTCCCCTTGCTCTCCACTCGGCACCAGCCACTCTGGCCTCTTCACTGCTCCTCAAAGCTGCCAGGTACACACAAGCCTACCTCAAGTCCTTTGCACTTGCTGTTCTCGTGCCTCGAATACTACTCCTGGTATCTACCTGACTCACTTCCTCTCTTTCTGCAAGTCTCTATTCAAAAGAGAGGACTTCCCTGGCTATCTTATATCAACAGCACAACCCTTCTCCTAGCACACCCAGGCACCACTTTGCCCTTGCCTGGCTTTGTGCATAGTGCTTCTCACCAGCCACACAGAATCTTGCTGTCTTCTTTGTTTATTAAGCACCATGAGAGCAGCATAACTAACTGCTGCGCTGCCAGAGCCTAAAACAGTGCAGACTGCATAGCAGGTGCTCCATAAATACTTGCAGAATAATTCGTGAGTCTAATCCCATTTGTTCCAGTTTCTCCCATTTACACTCCTTGACGAGCACTCGTGTCCACCACCTGCTCTGACACTCAGCACGCTCCCACGAGGTGGGCAAGGCTGAAGACAGCACCTGCACTTTACAGAAGAGGAAATTGAGGCTGGGAATGGTAAGGTCAAAGCTGTGGGCCAGGGTTAGCACCTGTGCGTGCATGTGTGTTAGAAAATTCAGCTGTTGTCTGACTGCCAGGCTTACCCAGCTTGGGCATGGTCCTACCAAGCAGGAAAGTACCGGACAGAGCCCTGGGGAGAAGGCCAGTGCTCCTGCGCAGCTGGGCGAGCCCACGGGCCAGCCTTGCAGGCTCCAAGACACGATGCCCTGTTCTTCTGGCCTATTTGAGCCTTAGGGACAGTTAGTTTGGCAATGGCAGCTGGGGCATGGATCAGGACTCCAAGGTCCAGTTTATTCCATCCTGGAGTAGTTGAGCCAAACGAAGGCCCAAGGAAATGTCAACTTTTGGAGACATTATTGTGAAGGTGAAGAGTCAGCCACCATCTTAAGGACTTCAATTTGCTTCATTTTACCTAATAATGTCCATTACTGAGTTAAGGACAGTTTCTTCCAAGAAAGGACTGAAAGGAAGCTGTTACAAGATAAGCACCTGGGGAGAGCTGCCTAGGAACATCAGGTGCAGTATGCACGTGCACACACCAGTGGCAACAGCAAGAACTGCTGTCTCTGCCCACAGTGCCTCAGGGGATGGGCTGGCAGGGAGACAGGCTCTTGGTCTTAGTCACATGCCCCTACAATAGTAGTATACCCATTTGCCACACCAGTGGAGGGGGAAGCCTGATTCTAGAAGGTTCTAGCAACAACCACAGGGTGTACACCATCCAGAAGAAAACATCAGTCCAATGGGAAATTTATAACTCACTAAGGAGGCCATGCGCAAGCTCAGAATTGCCCATAATCCACCACCCAACTCCCAACTTCCCTAACACAGACCCACCTTGGATCTTCAACTCGACTGGGGCCCCGTACAGCGAGCTGAACCTGTCTTTCAAGGAGGGACAGGCCCTGCAGGGAAAGAGCAAAACCAGTCAGGGCTGAGGGGGCTGCAAAGGCCCCCTCATGACCCTTCTTTATACAAACTCTAAAAAGTAAGTTACTTGTGCATATGCTAAACACCACTGAAATGTTCACTTTAAACTGGATAATTTTTTTTTAATCTTCACCTGAGGATATTTTTCTATTTATCTTCAAGTAGAGAGAGAAGGAGAGAAAGAGAGAGAGAGAGAGAGACAGAGAGAGAGAGACAGAGAGAGACAGAGACAGAGAGAAACAATGATGTGAGGGACACATCAACTGGTTGCCTCCTGCACAACCCCGACCAGGGCTGGGGACAAATCACAACTGAGGTATGTGCCCTTGGTTGGAATTGAACCTGGGACTCACTGGTCCAAGGGCCAATGCTCTAACTGCTGAGCCAAACCAGCCAAGGCTAAACTGGATAATTCTGTTTGATGTGCATTTCAGCTCCATAAATCATCAAGGGAAAAAAAAACAAAATATTTCTGAAAGTTTACCTCAGAAATATGAATTTGAAGACTGAAATTAAAATTCTCACACTTAAAAAGAAAACGACTGCCCAAGAGGACAAAACGGAATTCCTCGAAGCTCTAGCTCTTTCTCTGAGGGAACCAAGGAGCGAGCTTTTTCTTTCTTTCCTTTTATTTTTGTTAATCCACACCTGAGGATATTTTTTCCATTGATTTTTAGAGCGTGGAAGAGAGGGAGGGAGAGGGAGAGAGAGAGAAACACTGATGTGAGACACACATCGATTATTTGCCTCCTGCACGCCGGGGATTGAACCTGCAACCCAGGTACATGGTCTTGACCAGGAATCAAACCTGCAACCCTTGGGTGCGTGGGCCAATGCTCTAACCACTGAACCACACCAGCCAGGGCAGGGGCCAGCTTTTTCTTAAATCATGGCACAGGTTTGTTTGGAAGATGTCCGAGGACAGCCCTTCCTGCTCTGGCGTCCTTGCAGGTTGCCTGGGCCCCCTCCTGTGCCTCTCTTCACAGTGTCTGCTCTTCTCAGCTTCCCTGCTGGATCATACAAAGTCAGCGACACTCATCCCTTGAAGCCCATGGCTGATGTCACCACCCCAAGGGAAGCCACCTTGATATCCCTCCATTACTTCAGGGCCTGAGCACTGTCCTTCACTGGGCTCTTGCCCCCCAGACTTCTGGCTCGCCAAGGCCAGGAGCTGGCTTTCCGTCCAGTATTTCTGGGGCCTAATGCAGTAGCCAGCAAAGGAAAGGTGGCCAGTGAGCGTTAACAAATGAGTAACCATGTCCTCTTGCCACGGAATAATCTGCCATTAGTTAATGTCCACACTTAGCTTTTTCAGCAAAGGAACATTTTCTATTTTAAAATAATTTATTTTCTTTATTGATTTGAGGGAGAGGGAGAGACGGAAACACTGATGAGAGAGAACATCAATTGGCTGCCTCCTGCATGCCCCACACTGGGGATTTGGCCCACAACCTGGGCATGTGTCCTGACTGGAAATCAAACCGGCGACCTTTTGGTGCATAGGTCGACACTCAACTACTAAGCCACACCTGCTGGGCGCATTTTCTGTTTTTTAAAAAGTAAAAATGAGCAGGGGGTTAAGCTACTCCAGGTTATAACTTTAAGCCATTTGGGGGCTCCTACTATTATGGGCTCTGGGGTCACAGACCAAACCTTCTGGGTGGGGAGACTAATACCAGCCGTGCTTCCTTAACCTGGTAGAGCCCTGGCCTTGATGACACCACACAGATAAATGAAACAGTGGCCACTCATAAGCATCTTACCTTAAGACACTGAGCTGATGAGCAGAAACCTTTCTAAATACAGATCACATCCAAAGGCAGTAAGGGCTGCAATGCCTTCACAGGCATCCCAAGTGATACAGAGTTCAGGCCTCCCACTGGGTCTCCTCTGTGAGGGGGCATGATCTGAGCCTCAGGAGCTGGTTGCCATGGCGGGCCCTGCCTACATAAAGACAAGAAGCTCTTTGCCACAGGATGGTGGAGTCTGAGACCATTGAGGTACCTAGAGACCTGCAACTCAGTGTGGTGAGAAGGCATGGTCACTGCTCCTTCCCTAGGGCCATGCCTGCAAATGCCTATGTCCCAGGCCACACCTGCCCTGAGCATGCTGGGGCCCTGGGAGCTAGTGGGCCTCCCCCAGGCCTAGGCCTGGGGCCCCACACCACTGGACTAAAGTAGAGAGGGGGCTGGACCAGTAGCCTCAGCTGCTGAGCTGCACCACCTGTCTTCATAATTCATTAAGGCAACCACCCACAACCCCACCCCATCCCCTTTCTGCCAAAGAGGGCGGGGACAAAAAGGACAGAAGAAAGAGCCCCACCATGTGAAATGCTAGCAGGCTGGCTCCTGGGGCTGCTTGCCAGGCAATGTTCCCACTCACAAGGGACCAAGCAGTGGAGAGTGCTCAGCGATCCATCAGGCTGAACCACAGCAAACCACTTCAACACGCTAAAGAACAGATCCACAAGAGCCTAAGTGACCTCGCTCGGAAAGGGCTTTCAATAAAAGTTGATTTTCCTGGAGTAGCAGGAAGCAGGGCAGAAACTAACAGTGTTCAAAACCTTAAAAGCAAGAACAGCTCTTTGGAAGCCAAGGTAACACGTTTCTTGAATTCAGCCACACAGAGGGCCCGGTGGCTCTGCTCCCCTCCTGCACTGAAGGCCAACTCAGCTGGCACATCGGACACCAAGAGCTGCCATGCTGGGCTCTCCAGCGAACACTGGGTGCAGCTTCCAGGTTCTGCTGAGAGAGGGGTGAACAAGGTGGCCCTAAACAAGGGCTAAAATGGAAAGCCACATGCAAATAAAGGCAACATGAACTTGGGGGGAAACTGAACTCTGTCCAATCCTCTTTTCGGGCCCTTGAAAAAACTATAGCACTTTTGTCAGCTTGGGATCATAAAAGGGATTCAGTTTCTTATATTTAAAAAAGTACTAAAAGCATCTGAGGAATGCAGCTGTAGACTGCTCCCATGCCTCTCTGGCCAGCAGAGCGACCCAGTCCCCAGCTTCCATCTGGCCAGACAGATCTGGGCTCCCTCCCACAAGAGCCTCTCCAAGCCATAGCTTTGGCCTCTCTCCTTCTGGGAGCAAGCTCAAGACCCCTGCCGTAGCCCAGACTATGCCCAGTACTCTCTATCTTCCCAGGTTCTTGGACAAGGTGCTGGTCCCTTCAGAGCTGGCAATGGCTGTCACATGAGCCAACTGCCATTCCGAGCCAGGATCCTGCCATCTTTCCCTGAGGCTGTTGCTACACCTTCCATATTTGTCTCCCTGCCTCTGGCCTCTCCCCCACAAATCCATCTGCCACAGAACCCCCGAGTCACCTTGCCAAAATGCCAATTTCAATATGGTGCTTCCCTGGTCTCATGCTCTTCCTACCCAGAGCACAAAGTTCAAGGGCCCCACATGACTTGCAAGTCTACACATGAGCTGCCCTGGGGTGCCATTCAGGCCACTGTTGCCTGGCTCTCCCTCCTCGACTCCCTGCTCCTGTCGAAATGAGAACCTACCATTACCTGTTCCATCCCAGATCAAATGCCACCTCCTCTCTGCCAATGTCCACAGCACTCAGACTGCAGAGGTATGCCCAACACTGGGATTCATGCCTGGGCCTTTTGCAGACACTAAAGCCCCAGCTCTCTGAGGACACCCATTCACGTCTGAGGCGCCTGGAATGGTCCAGGTGTGCATGTGTCAGTGGACCCCCCTAGACAATACAATACTGCTGCAGCCTGGGGCTGATGGGGGAGTCCTGCATGGTCCCCCAGCAGCTCCCAGTGCTTTGGAGAGGCAGACAGGACAGCAGGCCAAGACAAAACCAATAGGCTAAGGGCTCTGGTAGGAGTGTACTCAAAGGTTGTGGGTGTCCAGGGGAAGGAAGAATATGTTTTGCCCTGGGAACTGGAGACTTTTTAAAAGGAAATAGGGTGTGCCCTGGCTGGTGTGGCTCAGTTGGTTGGAGTGTCGGCCCATACACCAAAAGGTTGTGGGTTGGATCCCCACTTGGGGCATGTGTGGGAGGCAGCTGAAAGATGTTTCTCTCTCACATTGATGTTTCTCTCTCTCTCACTTCCTCTCTCTAAAATCAATTTAAAATTTTTTTTTAAATAATAAAAAAATAAAAATAAAAGGAGATAGAACCTGTGACCTGGGTCTTTGAAGGCTGTATTGGAGTATGTGCGACATGCAGAGACCTAAAGGGGATCTCCAGGCTGGAGAACAAGTCAGAGTGCTGAGAACAAAAGGTTGTAAGAGTGCTGGTACTCCTGTGGTGGAAACTGAGGAAGGGCCTGGAAGGAAGCAGGAGAGGCTTAAACATGAAAACGCCTCTTCCTTCCTCCCGGCTGTCCCTAGGACACCCAGCTCAGGGCCAGGCCTCCTGACATCCAGGCACCAGCTAGACCCTCGGTACTCCACTGCCAGGCTCCTTCCTGGTGTCTTCCTCAGCTGCAAGGGCAGGAAGGCCAGGCTGAAGAGGGGCAGGCCCAGGCCTGGCCTCATGAAAGACTCCTGTACCGACCAAGCATGGGCACTCCAGAGAGTCCAGAGAGGGCCCTGGGGCTCACACCCAAAAGCACAGGGCCTGTCCACCACCGGAACCTTAAGACAGATGTGCAGTTCAGGGGCTGCTTCTCCTAAGAAACACATTCTGAGGGACTTTCTGGATCTTTCCCGTTGCCATCTGGGCAGGCTTTGCTTCCCCTACACAGTACCAAGCACACACACCAGGCCACACCTTGACCTGAATGACTGGGAAACGAGGGTCTTGGTCCTGCTTGTCACTCCTCAGTGATAAGACCAGAGATAGTTACAACTCCAGCCTGACCCTAAGCTTCCCAGTCTGAAAATGAAAGGATTGAGGTAAGTAGATCATTTCTCAGGCCCCTGCCAGCCCTGAAATCAGTAAAGGAAAAAAAAAAAATGCGCCCTGGCCGGTTTGGCTCAGCGGTTAAAGCGTCGGCCTGCGGTCCAGAGAGACCCGGGTTCGGTTCCCGCTAAGGGCACGTACCTCGGTTGCAGTTTATCCCCGGCCCTGGTTGGTCGTGCAGGTGGCAGCCACTCGACGTGTCCCTTTCATGTCGATGTCTCTCTCTCTCTCTCCCTTCCACTCTATCTGAACAAAAAATGGAAAAATTTCCTCGGGTGAGGATAAAAAAAAAAAAAAAATGCTCAGAAGCCAAGCTGAGCACTTCAGCCAGGTGGTGAAAGACTCCCCAAAGCAATGCTGGGGGCACTTTCACCCCAAATTCGACCATGGCTCTATGGCTGGCACTTCTTACCTTAGCAGCTGCTGTCCCAGTGACCTGGGGTAGGGTATAGAGCCCTCTGGGAGGACAGCTACTTATAAACAGAACAAACCCCATCTTGCCCAGGTGGGCTCAGTGGCACCAAGTGTGCTCCTGGAATAGGGGAGGAAGAAACAACTCAGTTACCGTATACACATCCACTCCAGGATTTCCAAGCGGTACTTCGAGGGTTTACACAGCAGTTCCTGAAGGGTCTCTGGTTCTGTGATATGTAGACCCTTGAGGAAGGGGCAGTTGAGGTCCTAAGCAAGGAAAGAGAAAGCCAGGAAGCTTTAGAAAGCCAGAATCAACCAAGGGCTGCAATGCACTTCTGCGCTCATGCCCTTAATGCTCCTTCACGTATGTTTACTGCCACCAGGCACAAACCAGGCTTGTTAGAGGTCACTTACAACTGCCCACGGGCACACGATCCACCCCCACCGTGGGCACACCATCCACCCCCACCGTGGGCACACTATCCACCCTCCCCCCACCCCCGTGCTCCCTGCAGCTGGCAGAGCCCTCCCCTTCATCTTGCCCAGGGGTAAATTCCTCTCATTCTCATCCCCATCTATGACAACCAGCCATCCCACCTCCTTAAAATACACCCCTCTCTGGACTCCTAGCAATTTGGCCTAGTAGCAAGTAAGGGCTTTAGCAAGATTCTGAGATGCCAATGCAGGCTCCTGGCTATGTGACTAACAGGACAAGAGGAGCCACAAGACCTCTGGGAGGGAAGGGGAGCCGAGGGGCGGGGAAGGGGAGCGGAACCTGGGGCAGCTATCCAACCTTGTGGGGTGGGCTTCCTCACTACTACTACCACTAGCCTGTACCGCAGACTGGCCTAGGGCACGGACTCTGCCCGCCTGTCTCCCCTGGACCCCACATGCTCCTTGAGACTAACGGTCTGTGCCCTCCACGCCCTTCCACTTGCTTCGCGTGCCCAGAAGGTGCAGCACACTAGCGGCACTGGCCGTGGGGACAGCAAGAACAGAGGCCCGGAGCTGCCCAAGGGGCCGATACGGACGCCCCCCCAAAGCGTCCCCTGCAGCGAGACGCCGCGCAGCCAGGAGCCGAGACAGGGCGGTGCGCAAGGCGCCACGGACTTCCGCTAGAGGCCCTGCCCTCCCAGCCGCCCCGGGTCGTTCCCTGGGCCCGCAGCACCTTCAGCTTCCTAAACACCTCCGTGGCCACCTTGAACACGCTGTCATCGCGCTGATCCTCGTGGCCGCAGTCGCCTTCGCCAGCGCCCAGCCCGGCCATGTTTCACGCTCTGAGCCACGCCCTGGACTCACAGGCCTGCCCTGCAGCCAGGCGCTAGTCCTCGGCCCGCCGCCCTTCCCGAGCCGAGGCGGGGCCTCCACCGCGCCTTCCCATTGGGCCGCTGCTCCTCGCGCGCCTGAGAGGGGCGGGGCGGGCTCTCTGTTGCTAGCCGAGCTCCGCTCTACGAGGCGGGCGACCCGATTGATGACGCCTCCGGGAGAGCCTCCACCAGGAGAGGGCGCTCCTTGGTCGGGTTCTCCCTGAGAGGATGAAAGGGAGCCTTGGAGACTGGATGGAACTGAGGCTTATGTCCCATCTTGCAGCGCGAGGCTCTATCTCCTGTTTCCCACATAACAGTAGTTAAAGAGGAATTTCTTGAGTTCGAATCACACAGTAACTAGCTGTGTGATTCGGGGCGAGTTACCTAACCTCTCTGTTCCTCCTTGCCCTCACCTAATGGGGATGAGAGCAGTTACCTCGTTGGGTTGCTTTGAGGAGGACGGAATGAGGTAAGAATTCCTATGAAACACCTAGGACCGTGCCTGGCACATAAAAAGCACTATGTAAAAATAAAAGTTTGCTATTATTATGCTGGGCTCTGCTACTTCCCCGTCTCCCTCCCCAAGCCAGTCTATGGGTCTCTGCTTCTGTGGGGTCTCTGGTTCTTTGGGTTTCTGGTTCTCTGGTTCATGGAAGGTTCTGTGGCTCCTTTCTTCCCTGTCCACTTACAAATTTATTTACTTCTCTCAGGCCCCTCAAACTCAATAAGTCTGAAAAGAAATTTGTCAGCCAGTCCTCTCCTATATTTCCAAAGCTCCCAGCTCAGTGAATGCCCACATCCCCAAGATCTGCTGATCAGATTAGGTGGGAAGGAGCTGGAGGGCAGCTGATGCCCAGGGAGTGGGGAGCTAATGGCAGGCAGCTGCTGCCAGCCTTCCTCAGTCCTCTCCAGAGTCTATCCCTCCATGTGCCTTGCCCTGCCATCTCCTGAAGGGTGGGGTCAGGGGACAAGTCAAGAGGCAGGGAAACCTAGGGATCTGGCAGGAGGCAACTGCAGTCTGCTGAGTGACAGGAGAGGGCTCAGCTCTGTCTGGGAGGAGGGTGTGGCCAGGAATCCGGGTTAACAGGAAGGGACCCCAGCCTGGCTTTGTGGGGTAGGGCCTGATGCCCTACTGAATGGTTTGTAATTCCAATCTATTCTGAGGACACAGAACCTTAGAACTTGAGCTGATGAGACAGCCAGCCCTGGCCCAGGGACCCAATGACATGTAAAGCACCTAAGACCCCCCCCCTGCCCCTCCCATGTGGCTGCTGCCTTGGGCCCTTTTGGCTGATGAGGGCTATAGGGGCTTTGAGTTGTTTTTTAAATCTTTTTTCTCTTTTTCTATTTTTGTTTTTCTTTCTTTTTTAAAATTTTCATTTCAATCACAGCCTCAACTCAGACGTTCAAATTTTTGTGGGTTTTTTCTGTGGATCTTTCCTAGGACTGGGGAATTTGGCGGGAGAAACCACGGCAGTGTGGTGGCCTCCCCCGCCCTCCCTATATCCTCTGCTCCTGAGGATCAGGAAGAAACCAGCCCCTGTGTATTCTGGAAGAAACTTCCCTTTCTCCACCCAGCCCGATGGAGCCAGTACACTAAGCAGCCCTTTCCCAACTCAGCAGCCCTGTCTACAGCACAGGGTGGGACATAGAGGGATTGGCAGGGCCTTGGGGGGTGAAGACCATCTCAAGGGGTCATGGGGTCCATCCCTCTACATGGAGGACCTGCTGGCCAGCCCTTAGCCCATGGAGATGGCTGCTGAGGACGAAGCAGCAAGCTACAGCCTCCCTGCCCACATCACCTCCTAATCATGGTACCTCCCAAGCACCTTCCACTGGAAAAGCTGGAGGCTGGGATGGAAACAGAGACTGCTGTGCCTCTTGGGGAGTGGGAAAGAAAGGGCTGAGTGGTAGAAGCTTCTGGAAATGTGGACTCAAGCTCAATACAAGGAAGTACTTCTCCCAGAGGGCACTGTCTAAACACTAGCTGGCTGCCTGAAAAGGGAGGGAGCTCCCTGTCTTAGGAGGTGTGCAAGCCCAGGAAGGCAAGTACAGATGTGGAGGGATGGGTTGCTACAGTGAAAGAGTGGGCAGCTCTCTAAGGAACATTCATGCCCAGAGCCCCTGAGTTCGGGGGGGGGGGGCTATGCAGGTCAGGGACTGAAAATGGGACTGAAGGACCTGTCTACCTAGGCGGGGGTGGGGGGAGTGCAGTGCAGAGGTATGGGTGGGATCAGTAGAGACTGTAGGGCCCTGGGCAGAGCCAGGCACTGCATGCAGCAAGAGCCAACCTCCTGATCATGGGGGAAACTTGGCCGTAGATCCCAGCAGGGCCTCAGCCATATGTCAGTGCTTGGAAAACAGGTTGGAAAATGAGACCAGTTGACAGGCACTGGCCCCACTGAGCCACGGATAGGCTGGCAGGCAGTGGAGGCCTAGGCAGCTGGCACATGAAGCAACTCATTCTGTGCTGCAGGCACAGAAATGTATAGCCAACCAGGCAGCTTCACCCAGTGGCCTGCCTGCCCTGGGGCAGCAGGCTCTTGGTGGGAGCCGTGCAGGGTATTGGGCGAGAGGAAGGGCCCCGAGAGCATCACAGCCCCACTGTTACAGCTGCCTTGAGCAGCAGACCCCAGAGTGCAAGGTGAATCTTAATCAGGGGCCCCCTAACAGACATCACCAATCAAATCTGAGGTTCAAGGGTTTAACTCTCCAGGGAAGACAGGTTGGCACCTGTTGCACCTGACAGGGAAGAAGGCCTTAGCCCGCGGGTCCCGTCAACTTCTACCCCAGAAAGGAGGGAGGCTTTGAGGAATAGAGGCTCCTTCCAATAAGAAAAGAAGATCAAGGTCTTGTCACCATGTCCCCTGGTGAACACCAAAGGCAGGCTCTTGAAGAAAAGGCGTGTGTGTGTGTGTGTGTGTGTGTGTGACATTTCAGGGGAAGAATTCAGTTGTGGGATGAGGGGTGAACATGAAAGCGAGGGGCCTTTGCCCATGAGGTGGGGAAGAGCCTCAACGCTGTAGGGACCCCACACTTTGGCATGGGCAACGAGCTGAAGGGTTCCCAGAGCAAAAATTAAGCTGACTTGCTCACAGGTGGCTGTAATTCACCTACCCCAAGTTCCCTGGGGACTGGCCTGGCCAAGTACAAGCTATTGGGATGGCATAAATCTGGAGGGTTCCAGATCTGCCACTATGGGCCTGACAGGGGTGACCTGCCATGAGTGTAGGCTTGGGGGAGTCTAGTGGTCTCTGGTCCCAGCACTCAATGAATGAGACTGTCAACCCAGGACCTGACTGGTGACTGCCAATTCTAGAATGTTCTCATTCTAGGCCTGTGTCCACCTTGGGAGTCTACTGGCACATGAGGATGGAGGTGCTGCGCTGGGACCTTGGCTTCCTCTTCCTGTCACTTCTGGTCCCTATGCTGTGGTGGGGACCATGGCAACCCCAGGCAAGGGCAGCTGGAGAGCCAGCCCTTGAGAGGGCAGGTGGCTCTCTGCCCATGGGACACCTAGGCAGTACTGCCCTCACACGCTGTAAAACCTGGCCCTACCTGAGGCTTCCTGCTTTAGGACCCAACCCCCACTTCCTGCCTCTGAGGGGCCCTCCAAGCTGTGGACACCACCCATTCCCAGGATACAAGTTCCTTGAAGAGCACATCTCATATGCCCAGGACCCCGATCAGACCCCAGCCAACTCCTAGGGCCTCTCACCTCCGAGGGTGAATCCTGCTTGAGGTCTGAGATCTTTGTGGGGGTATGGACAAGAGCCAGCCTGTGTGTGCCGGGTGTACCCACAAGTGAGCTCCTGGCCCCAGTGGAGGCAGGGGTGGAACCCACACGGATAAGGGGAGAAGCCAGGGTTGGGGTCTTCATGTCCCCTTGCTCTAGGCCCCACACATGGTGGGGGCCAGGCTGGGTCCCTATGAACTTTTGGGTTCCCAGCTTGTGCCCTCTCCCTCCTGGTTTGCAGCAGCCCAGGCAGACTGGAGAGCTGCAGTGAGGAGTGGGAGAATGGTACATGTGCGGGTGGGGGGCTCAGACTCTCCCCTCCCCTGGCGTCGGCGGGAGAGGAAATGGCAGGCGGGATGGCCCCCTCTGCGGGGAGACACTCGGGTCTAGACGGCTTGGCAAGGCCAGCAGGGCTGAGTCACATGCGTCTGGAGCTAGAGATGCGGGCGCCAGGACGGGAACAGGAACGTGCCTGGCTGGGCTGGGGAGGGGGCACTCAACCTCACCTTCTGGTTCCCTCGCCCCCAGCCCAGCAGGAGCCTCAGTTTCTGCCTGAGGCCCCTTGATGCCCCCCTGGAGGGGCAAGGGCAGCTTCCACAGGGAGTCAAGCAGGGCCCACGTTATTGGCAGGGACCAACTGGAATTTCAGAGAAGGAGGGAGATGTAAAGTGGTTCCCCACTTCCCTATCTCAATCATGGCCCTACTCCTTTGACCCAGCCGCATCCCGACCTGGGATCTTTTTGTCTCAAAGCCACCCTTACTGCACTCTGCCCCCCCTTCCACCTTCCACTGTCACCCTCCCCAGAGACGCCCGCATCCCAGCAGCATCTGCTCCTCTCTCCCTGACTGCCAGCATACCTTACTACCCGCCACCCCATCCCCAGCCATCATTGTTCGGTTTAGGGTTCTGTGTACCCCTTCCCTCCTCCTCTCTCTGTCTGTCTTTCTGTCTCTCTCTTGCTTCCTTGCTCAGGAACACCAGGTCTCAGACAATGAAGCACGACACGTAAGTCTGGATCGATGATGTATTTAGTGCTCACAATAGCATCTGCAAGAAAAGTTGTTTAATTGGGACCAGATCCTCTGAGGTTTCAATGGCATTAAAACAAGATGGATTTTCTCTTGGGAAGAAACTGCTGGCAACAGGAAGAGGACATGGAAAGTTTGTTGTTTTTTTCTTCTTCTTCTCAAAGCTTGAAGAGGTAAAAGGCCTCTGTATATTGATTTATATACCATAGATGTGTGAACATGCGCCCCACGGGTAGACCCAGCATCCAAGTAC